GCGTCGCCGCGCACTTCCTCTAGCGCACAGGTACGCCGCGACACTAGCGCCGCGCCCCCACTGCAGCTGGTGGAGACATCAACTCTAGAAGTTTTAGTAATAGGTTTAAAAATTGTATACTCTCAAATCAATCAGAAATTGCAATAACTTAGAACTTATTTCACCAATTCTTTGCACGTCTCTAGTTCTTTTGAATGTTCTTACTTGTTTTTGACAGTGAATTATTTTTATCTACAGGTGCAGGTGTTGAGGCTGGAGTTACGCAGACGCGATGGTACAACAATTAGCGTGTTCAGTTGATGTCTTGTAAATTATTAGTGTATGATAAAGTCGACATAATGTTATTTCAGTTGTATTATAATAAAATTGTTCTTATTACACATAATGTTTTATTAATTTTGTATTTATCCTCTCGTAACTTTTTCCTAACCATTTAGGGGAAAATGAATTTTTTTGCTGTTTGGGAACGGAATATTTTTTCCACTTTCGTAACCGGTAAAGTTATTGTGCTAGGGTGGGTACACTTTGCTAATTTTATCATCATGCCGATTTTAAAATGTGAAGAAAAAATAGTAATATATGGCCACTGAAAAAATAAACTCATTCTATCAATTACGAAAGTGGAAAAAAATAATTCTGTTCACAGCTTACCAAAACAAGGAAAAAAAACCTCTTTTCCTAACTGGTTAGGTAACTTTGGTTAGGAAATAGCAATAAGGGTTCTTTAATATTTCGATTTTTGCAGTTAAGTATTAAAGAAATTCTAAATACCGCTACCAAGGGAAAGTATTTTCTTGAAAAATAAAACAATTCGATAGATGGTTTTAAATGTTTATTTTTGATGTTAAAACTACACAGCCTTATTCTTAAGCAAGTCAAACATGGTAACTTTAAAAATTTTAAGCATTTTACACTGCAATAAAAATTTCTGTTCCAACATCACGCCTGCGAGCTAGAAAGGTAGACAGAATGTTTTGTCATGTAAGTTACACTGAAGCACATGTTGACTGATATTCTACGTATATATCTAAAAACAACAATTTTAAGTACTATTACTAAATATACAAAATCATATTTCATCTTTATTGACTGTTAAAGCAAAATAAGTACTAATTTAACAATTTCAAATCATTACTTTTAAGTCCAATTTAAATCACATATAAACTACGTATTTAAAAAGGGAATGTTTTTTATTCTTAATACGCACCGCATTCCTTATCTATATACAGGCTGATCAAAAAACCAACACTTCCCAAAAGTTTTTTTTAAATGCCAATTTTGCACCAATTATGGCAACACCAAGGCACTTCGTACCACGCGTTATATTAAAATTTAGAAAATATTGTGCTTCAAAGGATATGCGTGGGTAATCACGTTTTTAGCTCAGATAGATTAAATAAATATTAAAGAAGGGAATTTCAAAACATTTGGGATACAATAAGATTTGGGAATGTTACATTAATATGTCAAATATTAGGGTTACCATAACAAAGTTTTACAATGTTGGTATGTGTTAAATACTCTTTGAAAAACCAGAGACAAGAAAATTTTAATACAAGTTTAACACCATTGAAAATTCAATAAAAACAGTGCATTTCGAAATTAGGAAGATTTCAATACATATAGTTGATTTAATTTATTTACATAAAGCCACCAATATGAGGTAGCAAAAGCAACGTTCATTTTAGAAAGAGACCAAAAAATTATTGGACAATATGACATATAAAAAGCTAAAAACACAGTAATTTTTAATTAATTTCACCCGACTATTTAGAGAGTGGTTTAATATTTGGGTAATTTTAATTTTTGCAGTTTTTTTTTCAACATTTGTATGATACGAAAAAAAGTGTTCACGTGTTTTTTTATAGAAATCGAAGTGAGAAATGATTTTTTTAGCCTCTTAAATAACATTTTTTTATTATTTATTTAATATGTAACACAGTTAAGCTTTCCAAAGTCTTGTGCGTTAGAATATAAACTTTAAATAGCTATTTAACTTAAAAAAAAAAATCACGACCACTGTACAAATATAACGAGATTCAAAATGAAGCGATTATAAAATACACTTTGGTCGTCTTAAAGTGCGACATGCTTATCTGGCCCGGTGAGACTTCGCGGTAAGTGTTGACAGAAAATATTAAAATATCTCTACTAAAATTATAAAAGGTAAAAATTATTTTTGTATGTATTGAAATAACTCAAAAACTACTTGGTCGATTTCAAAAATTCTTTCACCATTAAAAAGCTACGTTATCAATGTACGCTTTTTTACTATTTTTTTAACTCTACGGGAACGAAAATAAAATGATATAAAAGAAAGGAGACAAATACAGTAGTTTTGTCATTTTTGACATTGACAGATTATGAGCTGTCAGTTTATACTGTTTTACCCACCGGGTCAGATAACTTAATCGTACTGTAATTGAATTTTTTATAAGAAATTGTTTAATTATATTTTTACATATATTTGATTATTTTCTAGGAATACCTGTTTTGGTATATTCGATTACACGACTTAATTATTTCGTTATGTCAAATTATTTTTTTAACAGGGTTATTATTATTCTTATGATTTTATTCACTTTCTGTATTGATGTATATTTACAATATATAGGGATCGTTACATAGAAATGCTGGCTATACAGGATGTTCGAAAACGTGTATATTTGTGACAAATTCTAATAAAATTATTCATTGTAATTTAAAAAGAACACTTAAATAAATCATTCTATATATTCCAATACAAAAAGTGATTAGAAAAAAACACCTACATAATTACAAATCGATGTCTCCCATGTAAATAATTATATCTCATTTTGTTATTTTCACCTTGTTTTAGTCATAACTTGATAAATAATGATTCTTTTGTTAATTTTAAAGTAAAGAAATGCGGCAACACCGGCCAAATTAAGCGAATCCGTAGAATATATCGTATTTTCAACTTTTTTTATGGATAAAACTAAATTTTATAGAATTATATTTATTCAGTTCAGGACTTTTTTGCTATTTTCTTCTAAAACAGTGAAAATAATTCAATGGTCCTTCGAGCCGGAAGAACACATCATTTTAGATGCGATATCGAATCGATAAATTATAAAATATGCATTTCAAATATATTTACGTAGGAGCAATCGATATACAGGATGTTCAATATCACATATCACAGAAAACGTTCAATAATACACCCAATTTTAAATAACACTTAAAGTACTTGCACTTTATTGTTTTATATACATCCTCGTTGACCGACACGAATGTCGCACATCGTCCGTCCCCCTCTCCCCCGAGCATCACAGTCCGTTAGAGCGGGATAGCACTAGCCTATACTGAGCGCGCTGCAACCCTCTCATATATCGACTTCACATATTTTCCTCTTTTGAGGGAAACCGAATTTTTCCTTTTTTATAACTTCCTGCTTTAGACGAAGGTACGTCTCTACCCTGGTTAGACCGTACTCCTGGAAAATAAACATTTACTTCTTAGTATTTTTTTCAATTGTAAAACCAGCGCTTGACCACTATCCCACCTAGACGAAGGTGAAGATGTGGTCGGTGATCGAAGGTGTGTCGTCTTTAATCAACGGGGGTGGAGACATTAAGAGGATAATTCCCATAAGCGTCGCCTTGAAATAATCTAGTTGCCCTACCATTTTCTAAACAAATGTATTTACGTAAAAAAAACATACAGACGAATTAAGTACCTCCTTCTTTTGGGAAGTCGGTTAAAAAGAAAAGTGGATCTAAATTAGTACTTCAGCATTACGAAAAAAAAATGTTTTTTCTCTTGTTTTTTTTTAAAGTAGGTTTTATTATATTTTAAGCTTGCTAAACCCATCAAAGTATTCATTTAGTGTTAAACATCCATCCATACAACCATTCGCATCAGTAACATTATAAATGCGAAAGTTTCGATGGATAGATTGATGTTTATTATTGTTTGTAGTCTAAATTGGTAGAAGAAACTCGATGTTCAAGGAGTTTTTACGTTTTTGGGTCTCAAGCCATTAGAAAAGAAGAAGAATTTAAATTATTTAAAATTAGAATACATTGTCGACGTCATCACTTTTTCATCGTCTTTCTTTTTCTGTACATATTTCAATACACATGTCTCCGTTAAAAATCGTTTTATTTCTTAAATCTTTTACGATATACACTCGATATTTAACATAGTCTGGAAGAAGACATAGGCAACTTACTTTTTTTTAAGTTAACAATATTAACAATATTAGTAATATTATAATTACCCAATATCCAAAAGGTATTTGGCTTTTGGACGCGTTAACGATGGACCAGAGACTCCAGAAAAGGTGGCTGGCGAGGGCGAAGGCCTCCACCTCGGTGAGGAGCTGGTTGATGTCATCTATGGAGGGTTCCTTCTCCTCGGAAGGGCTGGTGAAGTAGTGCTTCAAGTACTCCTTGATGAATATCTCCTACAACATTGTATAGAAGATTCTAGAAGGTTTACTAACAGTTTATTCATGTCAAGTGCTTTTATTTTTTTATGTTTACATACTCCATAGGTATTAGAATATAATAAAAGAAATGTTTGAGATAAATTAAACAATTTTTTCCTTTGTTATGAATGATTTTTTTTTAATTTTTTTAATGACAACACAAAATTTCGTCAAACATTGTTTTAAATTCTTTAAAATCATTTTATTGCATATTGAAATATGTAGATAATAGCGTAATAATGTACTACTTTTTTATCCAGACTATTGCAAGTAAGGAGTCATTTCTGCACGACGCTGACGTCATTGTACCCAACGTCTCATGTTATGTTGAACGTGTAGTAATTTTCTTTAATTACTGTAGTTATTTATATTCAAATATTTATTAAACCAGATTTAAACCTAATTTGTGTTTATTTCCATTGATTTCTACTCAAAACTTTTTTATGTTCAATGCTTGACGAAAACTATTCAAAAACATTTAAATATGCCTATGAGTAATCAGCCCAAATTATTTGGTTATATTAACAATTTAAAATTATTAAAAAAACATCAAAATTGACAATATAATTGATTAATAAAACAAAATGGCTGAAAAATCAACGGCATTTTAATATAATATAAAAATGGACTCTCTTTTGTAAAGTACTTTTACTCGACCGAGAGCGGGCGGCGGCCATTTTGTCATCCCTACACAATCGTCGTCAAAAAGGCAAAGGTCGCGTCCCTTCAGCCAGCAGACACAAGGCGCTGCCTCCGCTAAAAATTAAGCATAAAAAACAAACACAAGCTGCGTAATGACGGGAACCAATCCAATAAAAAAGCAATTTTTCCAAACATTTTAGTTCGTACATTTGAGAAATAAAACAATTTTTATGATTTCAAAAATTTCATTTCGTATGAAAAGTATGGTCAAAATGACCATAAGGTGAAAAAATCTAAAAATCATTTAAAAACAAGACAATAACCAGAATAGTAGGTTAAAAATTATAAACGTTATTTGGTATCAATAAAAAAAATCCTAAATTCAAAAATATGTCTAATCATAAAGGGTTCAACCCTCAAACCCTTTAAAAGGGTTAATTTCCCCCCAAACAAGCAATATGACCAGAAAACAATTTATTTATAAGCATGCATAGATCATAGTCTTTTTTTTTAATCAAGTTAATTTGCATGAATGTTATTGTAACTAACCTTAGCGGTCTTTGGCCGTTGTTTTTGTCTGTAACTTTAAAAATATGATCAAACCAATGATTTTAGAGTGATATTGTAAATATCAATTTATTGAAAAACCATAGACTCCAGTACATTTTTTTAATTTGCAAAAAATCTGTCAACCATAGATTATTCTTCAACCATAGATATATTTTGCAAGATCACTCTAGCCATAATATATATGTATAAGCGATCGTTTATCCCATATTCACCAATAAAGCTGGGAAACACAATTTAACTGACCTTTTGTTCTAGATTGGGCCAATTCTCCTGGTTCTCGAAGTAGAAGGGAGTCTGAGGGTTCGTGTAATCATAAGCCCATTCCTGGAGATGGTTCGCGATATCGAAGCCTCTGTGAATTAAACATTAATAAATGCATTAATTAAATAGCAATATTAAAATTGTACAACCATATTACTCGTCTTGGTCAATAGATGGCGTTGTTCTTAATTGGTCCCGGAGGCTTAATTAAAGTCCCTTTCTCTTTACCACCCTTTTCTTATAGGGAGAGGATGGGAAGGGGAAGTGGATTTGACGGCGGAGGAGATGCATAGAAAGGGGAAATATCCCTGTTTATGTGCGGCTTCTCCTCCGTCGTATAAGGGTAGGCAACGCATCTGCAATTGCGGATGTGTATGGGCAGCGGTCGCTTCGCCATTTTAGCGGATTCAGGTGGCCGCTTGCTCGTTTGCCACCTTATGGTATAAAAAAAATATATTACAGTTACTTGATCATAGGTAGTTATAAAAAGTTTCAAACATACAGACGCTAGATAAGTAAATTTTCATATCAATGTTATTCAAAGTGGAAAACCAAAATTAAACCTGAAGTTATATACTAATTAAAGTAATATATGTATCCAAATTAAATAATGTATAAAATCTTGCTTGAAGGACCATTAAAGATAGTAAGATAAAAATTGGTCTGGACATACATTTTCACGCTATTAAACTTAAGAGGTGAGTAAATTAGGAAAACCTCGAAGCGAGGAAGGAACGAAACTAGAAGCTTATAGCAGCAAATCAAAGTTGCCATGGTATTTTAAATTTTCAACTTATAGTAAGGGTATTTTTAGGATTTTAATTTTGACATTTGCAAATGTAAGTTTTACAAAATGTACAAAAAATGTTTTTAAATCATGCGGATGAAGCCGCACGGCAATGTTCAATGGCAATGTTCTAACACGTTACATCTTACTAATATTATAAATGTAAAAGCTTAGATGTTTGTTAGAATTTGTAGCCTAAACTACTGAACGGAATAATAAAATTTGGCAAAAATGAACATATAGGCTACTTTTTAATTCCACGCAGACGTAGCAACGGGGAAAAGCTAGTTGATTCACCTGTAATTATAAGCGCAGTACTCAAAGTCTATGAGTACTAATTTAGGTTCCCCGCTATCAGATATATGACTGATGACACTATCCGAAGTGCTGGTGTCCTCAAACTGCGCTAAGGGCTCCAATCTGGCGTGCTTCTCCTGCTTCTCCTGGGACACGTTGTACGTCTGCACGTAGTCCGTGGTCTCCTCATCATCAGTATTCGTCTGGAGGTCTTCAAGAAGTAGAATGTTGCCTGAAAGAATATTTATCTGACTATCCGCTGTCAAATGGAATATTAGCGGTTACCCGCGACATTGTCAGAATATTGCAAACTAACATTATAAACGCGAGAGGATGGATGGATGTATGTATGGATGGATATTTGTTACTATCTACAGCTTAACAGATCTTGTTAAAATTTGGCATAAATACAGACCATGGTCTGGAAGACCACATACCCTATGTGGTTGTTTTTTTTAAACAGCGTGGACAAAGTCACAGGCGACTACTAGTGCAGAAAATATAGTCTATAACATTCACACATTCATATGTTAATAGAAATCGTTAGAAGCCACTTTGTGCAAAAAAATTCGTATGTAAAAGAGCAACAGAGAAAGAGAGAGAGAGGGAGAGAGACAGAATGAGATATTTCTTCTCACCTTCTTGCAGATCATTATGACAGAAGACAACAGGAGATTCAATAGTTTCGATGAATTTCTTGAGCCACTCAATCTCGTTCTCAAAGTCCACCGTCTTCAAGCGCTTTATGATCTCTTCTTCGTCTTCATTCTAGAACAAGAGAAAAATATTTATAGATTTATCAAATAAATCTCGCTTTGATTCTTATGATCTTATATGGAGATGGGCACAACGATTTTTAGTTGTGCAACTAAATAGTTGATTTGACTGCAAAACAACCGACAATCGCACAACAGTTGTGCGATAGTTTAGTCAAATGTGTGTGTAAAACTTATCTATGGTTGTATACCTTTCCAACAGCATATTTGGTGAGACGTTCACTCCTGACAGTGCGAAGCCACTTGGCCATCGTCTTCCAAAGCCAGTTGGGTTCCTTGGACAGAGGCACGTCCATCGAATGGATCGCAGCCATCTTCTCCGCTATCTTCATTGACAGCGCCGGCTCAGCTAATTCTCTTGTTAGCAGAGGACGCGCCTGAAGTATACAATAATTATTAATGTGTTAAAAGAATTATATTCCTACTAATATAACACAAAACATTGACCTCTAAAAAAGGACAAGATATAAAACATCGTATTCTGTTTCTATCATTTCAGGTCTGACGGTAGCTAATAGAGATAGACTTAACTGTTAGTAATATAAAACAGGCGTTAAAGTAGAAACGTAGTAAAACAGTCATTTCCACGCTATCGCCTATCTATTTATACAGATCAATGGTATAGATGACAATCATTAATTACAGCGCCATCTTTTGGTTAGTACTACACGTTCTGGCTAAAGATAGCACAATAAACATTCCCTATTGCGGTACAAAAACACAACATTATTTTTTATCATTAATTTCTTGTATATTATTACAGAATATACCATTTTTATACATACCGGTATATATTCTTCTATTCTGCCACCAGAAAAGACGCCGTGCAACTTTGGACCCAGTCGTCTTTCCGACAGCAATGTGAAGATGACGGATTCCGTAACTATAGCGTCCATTGCGCGTTCGCCGTGAACTTGACCGTAAATTCTTAATAAAACCTGCAACATAACACGCAATCTATAACAAGATAACATTTAAACACACAGACTAGCTTTAGCCTGTGACTCCGTAAGCATAATTAAATAAAAACAACTGTTTTTCGAGATTATGTTCTAAATATTCATCAAGATCTATTCGTCTGGTCGTCTACCGTTCTGGAGATAAATTTTAACATCCATTAGTAAGAAGTTTTAGTTACAAAAAAATCAAAATTTATAGCTGCATAAGACATTCAACAAAGTTTAGCTATTCAACTAAATAACAGATAAATCATACTTACTAATATTATAAATGCCAAAGTTTAAATGGATGGATGGATGTTTGTTAGAGTTTGTAGTCTAAACTACTGTACGGATTTCGATGAAATTTGAAAGACAACATAGGGTACTCACTTTTTTTTTTTTTTTAAATTCCACGATAACGGAATCACGGGCGAGACCTAGTTAATTCAAGTTTTAGTTACGTTGAGATTTATAAAGTTGGTAACGTTTGCATGACAACATACATGTACAAATGTTTATACGTGACTTTGTATGGATTACGTCGCGTATGTTATCTTAGTTCTAACAAGGAATTGTTATACATTTATGAGTATACTTAGAAAACGAATCGGTATTTATTGAAAATACTCGCTTACGACAGCAAACAAGCGCTTGGAATTTAACCAAAGTAGCCTATGTGTTCTTCCAGACTATTTACATCTATATGTCAAATTTAATCGAGATCTGTACACCAGTTTTGACTACGAAATCTAAGAAACACTATCCATCCATCTAAACTTAAGCCATTTATAATGTAAGAAGTAAGATTCTCATTGGAAAAATCCTGATTTCCAAGAAACTGGTGAACATATTACATATGTACAGTCGGAGAATCTGGCAGCGGTAGTAGTTTGATCTTTGGTGAGAGTCAAATGACATTTGACCGGGTAGACAACTTCGACTACAAGCTAACCTTTGTAGGCTCCTCAATTGAGAAAGATCCTATTCTGCCCATAGACTTGCCGGGGAACTTTATCCCAGCCGCATCCGGCTCCGTGTCGGGTGAGGTCTCTCGCATCAGGTAGCCGCCACCAAGCTTTGTTGCGTTTTCGGGTAACGCCACGTAGTAGAGGAAATTTGATAGACCACCGCTGTTGACAAAAAAAAATGATAACAAACATAATCGATTCGAGCTCTAAGTTATACAGAACAAATCTGTTCATCTGTTAGACCTTTTTCCCAACAAATTATTGAGACTCGTACTGTCGCGGAACACCAGTGAAAATGCTACATAGCTCATTTACATAGTAATCTTAAAATTGGTAACGCAAATAAGTTCCAACTAAACATTTAGACTACTTTTAGAGTAAAATAGTATGAGTGTGGAGGTACATCAATAGAGGTAGACCTAGAAAGAGATGGATGGATTGCGTGAAATGTGACATGAACAACAAGGGAGTGATGACTAAGATAACGGACGGATTTTGAGGACGAAAATCCGGTCCGCCGATCCTACGGAAGTATGATAATGTAAGGGAGGTGACGATGAGTAAAATAGTATCTATTTTTTGTTTTTGTACAATAAATACATAAGTATATCGCCATTTAGTTTTCATGTATATCAATAAGCGCCAACTAAAACAATTCGTTCGTTATCATTCATTCAATTCTTGTTCACGATATCAAGTACAATCAGGACGTTTAGCGCTGTTCCACCTTTAAAGTTACAATAGTTAAAAGGTTTTGTACACATTAAGATGCGGAACTATAACCAAATGGGACGCAGCGTCTAAATATGTACGAAAAAAGATAGGCGAGTGATACACTGTTAATTTTTATTATTACCTTGTGGTTTGCATATCCCATTGCTACCTAATTGGTTTATAACATTAGGTGTAGTTTGTCTCCTTGAAAGTAACAAGTCATTTTTTTAGTGCAACATCGCAGATGTCCGCGACTGTACTTTACGATTACCATCTTATCGTCAGTAATTTTCCAATGTCCTACATACAATAATAATAATATTACAAAACATTATCATTACTATCTGTATTCTCGAGTAAAAAATACATAAATATGTGACAATTGTACGAGATATGCACATTTTCCTTGTATGCCACGTTTTTACAAGGTAAAATCGGCTTCAGTGTCCTACATTACCGGTTTAACATCGTCGTCATCATCATCATCTCCTTATCCTACTCCCGTAGGTTCAGCGCAACAGGTTTTTGTCCTCCACATAACTCTATCATACGTCATCTCAGTCATCACTCCCTTTTTGATCATGTCACCTTTTACACAATCCATCCATCTCTTTCTGTGTCCACCTTTACGGATGTAACCTTCCACACTCATAACTAAATACACAATATGGTGTTGAACATTTAAACGCCAGTAGCCTAATATTTAGGGGAATTCTGATCACGTGGTCGAAGGTTCGAATCCTGCCATTCGAACATTATCCTAGGATATGCACACAAGCCTAGAGCTTACTTCCGCTGGTACACATAAGGATTTTCCATGTCGTTTTACTGAAATAGGTACACAAAATATTTGTCTCTACATGGCTCTGACGTAATACATTTAAAATTTAATGCAACTCTGCAAATATAAAAATGATTCAATGCTACAAAGTGCACTCGGAAAGGCGTGGGTTAGCGGCCATTACATTCGGCCCTGAACGAGGTTAAGCGTGCACATTTTAATGACGCCAACCAGTTTAAATCTCTAGTGAAATTGTAGGTTGAATATGACATACTAGCTTTTGCCTTGTGCCTTGGAATAATAAAAAAAAACTTAGTAAATTTCTACATCTGTCCCAAATATCATCGAGATCCGTTGTGCCGCTCTGACAACATTATCAACAATAACATCCATCCATCTAAACTTTTGCTTTTTTAATATTATCAAGATTATAACAAATAAGATATAAAAGCTGTTTTCTGTAAATAAATAGCATTTTTAGCAGTTTAACATAACATTTCCCCCTCTCTCATAGTTGCTGACGTCACTTAATAAAATAATAAAATCATAAAAACCTTTTTCGCTCGCTTTAAAAAAAGTTCGTCCACAGAGTAAACAAAACGGCCAGCACAAGGTCAAGACTGTGTTTACGTTTTTTTCCTACCGTTAAAATGTTTTCAAACAGACTAAACTACGTAGTATTCTAAACGGATAACAAGACTGTATTTGCTTTCTATTGTACGCTTCTATTGTGTAAACAGAACGTCAAATTTCATACATTGTTATTACCATATTTAATTTTTACAGGTGTTTAAATATCGTGGGATTTATTGTGACTTATGTCAAGCTAAATATGCGAGCAAAAGACTTTTATGAACACAAAAGTTTAGATGGATGGATGTTAGAGTTTGTCGTCTAAACTGGAGAACGGATCTATGAAATTTGACTTATATGTAGAACATCTGGCAGGCTATCGTCATCATCCACTTGTCCTTATCCCTTACAGAGGGTCGGCACAGTATGTGCTCTTCCATACATCTCTATCAGTCATATCTGAATCCACTCCTTTCTTAAGCATATCCTCTTTCACACAATCCATCCATACTTTTAAATCTGGCAGGCTATGCCAAATTAAAATTAATTAAACTGCTATGTTAAAGCAGAAGGTGTTAAGATTGATAGCTACAAAGGTAGAGGAAGACCGATGAAAGTATGGATGGATTGTATGAAAGAGGATATGCTTAAGAAAGGAGTGGATTCAGATATGACGGCTGATAGAGACGTATGGGAGAGCAGCACATACTGTGCTGTTCCTCCTTAAGGGATAAGGACAAGTGGATGATGATCTGGCAGACTATGGGCTACTGGCTTTTGTTTAGTTTATTTTTCGCTGTCGCAGTAAAGGGCTAAAGTTAGTTAATATTTCAGAATAGATGAGTTTTGAAGTGAAATCACTTATCTATTTCTTGAAATATTAAGTTATATCTCTACTATTATAATAAAGCGTAAACACACACTTCTTTGTTGCCTAAGATGTCAGCAATTACAGCGTATTTTTGAATTATTATTTTTTTACTAAAAAGCCCTACACTTACGTCACGCTTTAGGCTATATATTTTCCCGCCATTAAACTTAGGGGTTAATATTTTGGAGAAAAACTCTAATGTGGGAAAGAGACCATAAGTTGCTGCCAACATCAAGGAAACAAGGTTGCCATGGTTTGTCATCTTTTTATGTCATTTTGACATTTGCAATTGATAATTTGACACATGTAAAGAATAAAATAAAATTTTCATAATTTTATGCGGATGAAATCGCACGGGAACAGCTAGTTTTAAATATTGTATAAATATAAAGGTAAATTTACTACATGTAGATATATGTGTTGTTTAGTAAACGCATACTTATCGCTATGATGGCGATAACACAGTACAAATGTCAGCGGCCTTAGAACCAGATATAACCGGTTCAGTGAATGTTGAATCAAATCATAAAAGTCATTAGATAAACAAAATTAATTATAATTATTGGCTTAGCTTAAATTTGATCTGGAACCTGGACGTATTATGGTTCGGTAAATAGTGCCACAAAGGTTCTTATGCTGGGTTTCTGAAGTTTCCATTTCTTTTATCATTACCCAAGTGACTCACCAATATGAAGTTAACCTGAGATTCAATGGAGTAAAACTTAATTTACGTAGTTCGAACCCTCATTTTATGAATTAATCGAACCATAAGCACTATCGAATGGTTAAAAGTAATTCGGAAATCACTCATTAGTGTCTTAACAACAAAAAACGAAATATAAATAAAATGTAAAGAAACATAAATTGGGAGTAAAATAAAATTGGGTAGGTTAATGTCAAAGGTCATGCGAATTTATACTCCATATAATTTCAATGACGTCACATCCAAGTTTATATCAACGAAACAATTCAAGCCTAATTATTATAATTTACTTGGCTTCATTACTGTTACTATATCGCTTAATAAAATGTTACACAACAGCAAACGTTTCACGTTGAATTTCAAAGGCAAAGAAAATGTCTGTTACATTCCAACGAATGTGGTATAAATGTGATGTGATGTATAATACCATTCAAACATATTGAAAGCTCGGAATTTTAAACGAGGCGCTATACACCAACAGTGGTATAGGGCGGAGTACAATCTCAACAGTGTTACCTACATTGTTTTATAAAGACTCGCTGGTTAAGCGAGCCGGAATTAAGTTTGGATCTTGTTATACTTGTGGCTGGTTTTACAGCACTCTTGTTGATTATGCCTTTACAAGCAACTTGTTTATCCTCTTTGAGTTGAGATACGTTATTGTAATGAATTAATTTGATGTTTTCTTGTAAATGTGATGTTTTTAAGGGGAATTTGCGTCTAAAGGTCGATTCCCTCATTAGTAACTGAAATGTTAATTACGAATAATTGATACTTAAAAAGCTACCTAAGTACTCTTCCGTTCCGTATGTTTGGATGTTTTTCTAAGATAAGACCTAACTTTATTTGGACTAACTATCTACTAACCTAACAAATTATTCTACATTAATATAAAAATAAAATTGTATGCTTGTAACAAATAAACTTAAAAACTATTGGAACTAATTAAAAAATTCTTTCACCATTACAATGCTACATTATCCTTGAGTGATTGAGGCTATATTTACTAGCTGTTCCTCGCGTCGTCGTCCGCTTGGAAATAAAAATTGTCATAAACATATTTTACAGTGATAATGTAGCTATTAATTGGTCAAAAAAATCAGGCCAGTAGTTTTTGAGTCATTTATATATAAACAAAAATACAAATCTGTCCTCTTTATAACATTAGTATAGACTGTAACCTGATACGCCTGAAGACTAGCTCCTTGGGTTTAACGCTCTTCCATGCTCCGTGAAGGTAGTTCCTACAGATCTTGCCAGCTACCTCACGCATCTCCTCCTCGGTGCCGCACATTTGCAGTTTCTACAACAATACATTAAATGTTACCAAAGTATAACAAACGATTATTAGGGTCGAATATCGTATACGAAACAGATTGTTTCTTAGTGTATTTTTTTATTACTAACTAGAGTAGATAGTGCTAAAATATATGTAGATTATAGCGAAATCTTACTAATATAAATACGTAAGTTAATAGCGGTGGATGTTTATTAGCTGATAGCTTAAACTGCTAAACGGATCTAGATGCAATTTAGCATAGATGTAGAGGATAGTCTGGAAGAAGACATAGACTACTTGCTTTTGTTTTTTTATTATTCAAGACCAAAGCTAGTGTGCCATAAAACAAACCTTTGTGTAACGCCATTAAATATAACCTGACCTTTTGGAAATTAAGGTAAATAACGTGGCGAGCCTTCAGTACTTATTGATTCAAAATAACTTGGTCAGGGACGCGGTAATATTCATATAGCAACGTAGCCGTTTTTATCTTTACACGTACTAGCATTATTGAAAGAAAATATTTATCACAAACTTCCTTTTTACTCAATTTATCCCTTTCTATCATCTCATTAGTGACTTCTTTCCGTGTCTCCGTCCGCGTATTGAAAAAACAAAAACAAGTAGCCTATATGTTCTTCCAGACTAACCTCTGCATCTATGTCAAATTTCATCCAGATCCATTTATTAGTTTAGGCTACAAACTCTAACATCTATCCATCTAAATTTCGCATTTATATTAAGTAAGAAATAAACGACCTCCGTCTTTTCTTAGAAGTTATCCTACTTATTCTAAGAACCTTAGTTCACTAGTGTCGAATGTCTTAGTGGAAACCGGGTTTTATAATTCAACTTTTTCGACGTCACAAAGACTTCGTAACAATCTTAAATACGTTACAATTTATTGCATGTAGGCCGATTAGGGCTGTTATCATACCAAAACAAATGCCGACCTGCGATTAGTCGATTGTTTTTGTTACCGTGCCTACTGCCACTTCTATTATCCGAAGGCCAGGTTATTGCCAGATAAGATTATCATCAGATAGTATTTTTATGAATGTAATCTAGATATCCTGTTAAAAGATATGTAATTCGAGCTAAATAAACATTACTTTTATGCATTAGGTATGTTTTAAAGTTATTTTGGTGGCCTCTAACTTAGACGCTGCGCAAAACAAAACTTTTAATGTCGTGTGGCGTGACCTTGGGCCAAGATATATTTGGTACGCGCTGTCGCCCGCAAACTTCGTTAGCGCAAATTTGAACCACCCGTTACGCCGTCTTGACAGCTCGGAATTTAAAAAAAAATAGCCTATAACATGCCTATCCATATCAGCTACCCTCCAGTGAAAGTCAGGTCGAAATCGGCCCAGCCGTTACGGATACTACCCGGAACAAACAGACAGACATAAAAATTTTGAATGCGATTTTCGTTATCAGCAGCGCAAATAAATAATTTTCCCGAAATCTGGAATTTTTCTTTTGCTAATTGTTAATCTGTTTTCAATAAATAAATTTCAAATTTCAATTTCAATTTCAAATTTCAATATTACAAACGGACACTCCAATTTTATGACATGTATATATAGATTAAAAAAGCTGCTACCATACCAATTTAGATAGACCTATAACTTTTCTATTTGTCCAAAATAGGAGTGTTTTTTAATTATATTTATGTATCGCATATTATTTCTATAAGCCTAATCAATATATAAATAAGCAAAAATCGCTTCGTTCACGCACGTTTACTTCGCATACTTCCGATTTGATGCGGAAATAATGTATATTTTTGTATTGCCGTTACATTTTTTATGTCCAATGATTTTTGCAAATAAATTAACAAACACTTGTTGGCGGTGTCCTGAACAGGAGTGAGAGAGAGGCACTGTTTAAGAGGCACAAACTTCTAAGACACCATGTTGGGGGATTTTTGTCTGCTTTGGCCGAGCCACTGACGGAGTCCGCTACCTGGTGTTAAAGGCTTTGTTAATGTCTTGCAAAGCAAATTGCTAATAAAATGTAGTTTTACAACTCATCACTAGATGGCGCTGTACTGTTTAAGTGCCCACTATAGGTTTGCCGCGTTGTTATTATGCGCTTGCGACAAGCGACGAATAAAGTTGGCTCATTCACCCGATACTGAAGTTCTATTTTACCGCTTCGGTCTGTTCGGGGTTTTTTGGGATTCTGTAAATGGTCCTTACGATCGCCGGATATTGGCGTCTTGGACAGTTGGCAATGCACCTTTAAGTTCCTTGGTGCAAAAATAAAAAGGGACAAACGCCGCCACGCCCCAACGTCGAGTTCCTCAGTAACCTGCGACAGTGACAGCGGAGTTCGGGCAGCAGTTAGTGCGGAGAGGCCGCACTAGCATCACCAAGGCAGTACAACTGGAGAGCAGCGGGGGGAGCAGAGCACCTCCTCATCCGCCATCTTATACAACGGGACAGCAGTGAAGTGTCAATGTGTGAGTGTTATTTTATATTAACTTTCATTGTGTACTAGTGTATTATTTTAAGATAATTTTCTCATTTATTGTTAATTATGGATCGCTTAGTAAAGTGTCAGGATAGTCTTAAAACTAGAATACTTAAAAATAGAACAAATTTTGGTAAACAGTCTAAAGATAAAATAACATTGTCATATGTAGAAACGCGTTTGGATAATTTGGAGGAATGTTGGATATCGTTCAAAGAGACTCATCAAAGGATCATTCTAGAATCAGAGGACAAAGAGTTAGAATCGTCTGCTTATTATAAGTCCGATTGTTTCGATGAAGTTGAGGAGATTTATATTGATTTTAAATCGAAATTGAAAGGGGTTTTAGCTAAATTGCGGGCGACGACGCCGACAACGCAATCTTTAAACACTGAACCTAAAGGTTCCTGTGTACGCCTACCTAAGATTGACATCCCAACTTTTTCGGGCAAGTACGTCGAGTGGACTAGTTTTAGAGACCTGTTCGTGTCACTAGTTCATAATAACTCAAGTTTGGACGATGTACAAAAACTCCATTATCTCAAAAGCCATTTACAAGGAGAAGCCGAGCAATTGTTACGCCATATTCCCATCACTTCTGATAACTATATAACTTGTTGGGCTCAATTAGAGAGTAGATATAATAATAAAAAGTTTTTGGCCAATTGTATATTAAAACGATTTATGAACCAAAGGAGCGTCACCATAGAGTCTTCAAGTGCCATTAAAGACTTACTTGATGTTACTAATGAATGTTTACATGCACTTGAAAACTTGGGAGTTGCCGTTGGTTCATGGGATATATTAGTGATTTTTATTATCAGCCAAAAACTTGACCCAGAATCTCGTAAATTCTGGGAAACCTTGATTAACGACGGTACCAATGAATTGCCAAAAATGACACAATTTAGAAAGTTTTTAGAAAATAGGTTCAGAGCTCTAGAATGTCTAGATTCGAATAATATTAGTAAATGTAACTCTAAGCAAAAAAATGCCACGGCCTTGCATGTGGCCAACACTCACAATGTAATTAATTGTCCCTTTTGTACTGACCCAGAACATAAATTGTGTAATTGTAAGATGTTTGCCCAAGAGGATGTAGAAAAACGGCGTAAGTTTGTCCAAACCAGTCGGCTATGTTTTAATTGTTTGCACCCAGGCCACTCCGTGTATACCTGTCGGCAGTCCACAAGGTGTCATCTTTGTCGAAAAAGACATCATACACTTC